AAACTGCTGGAGGTCTTTGTTAAAAACACAGATTGCTTTTGAATTCCTTACTTTTTACCTACTTATTATTCAATTCACTCAATTACCTCTATTACACAAAGCACAATCACCCTTACAATAGTTCCAAGAATAGTGATGGCAGATGCATACAGTCTTAACGGACAGGATAAACTTGGCATTCTAAAATAAAACTCTTAAAAGAAAGATTTTATACAAATTGACTTGGATTCTTTTATAAAATTGTTAAAAGACCTGTCAGTCAGGACATAAATTATCCTTAGGCAATGGTCCATTAAGAATAAAACCCACCTAACTGGAGCAGAAATGACAGCCTGAGCCCTTGTGCACCTTTCCTTGACTTTAATTTTAAAGGTCAAAGACACAAACTCTGAATTAGTGAATCTTTTAGGTCTGGAAATCTTGGTGGGAGCATCACATGGTATCCTAAGAAACCCTGCATACTTACTCCTGGATTCATCCAGTACCAACAGAATCCATCAAATACGAAGATGAGAAATGGACCTGAAGAAATTGAACACTTTCAGTAGGAGAGGACATCTTACTGCACTGAGTGCTATGTGCCTGATATTCCATGAAGTTTTTCCATTATCTCATATCACTGCAATATTATTATGCATTGAAGCGTTGTCTTTCAACACGGAGACAGAAGCTCTCTGTGTGAGTATCTAAGGAGTGCACACACAGACTTGACAGATACATTAGTCTGACAGGTTGTCAGAAGCTGTGGGGATCAGCAAATATAAGAAATACAATAAAATCTACAAAGAACAGGGGTAACACTCAGGCTAAGCAAACAAGATTTGAACTCAGCATTCGTAAACACCAAAAGATACATGCTGTCTTGCTATCCATGATATTGCTGGTGCCTGTGTTTTGGTAGGTATTTCACACAGGGAGAAGCATGCAAAAGCATGACAGTAGACATGATCAGCACTTAGAGAATCTTTTGATGTCTCTGTTGAGGCTGACCATCTCATTGAGCAGATAATATGCCTGAGATCACTCTTTATCCCCCTGTCTATGTACAGAGCCTGAAGTAACAGTCTGTGTTCTTACCTTAACTTTGAATATGCTACTGCTGTGTAATCTATGATTATTACTCCTAGCAGCAAGATGTGGTAAGCAGAAAATATACAGAAATGTTCCACAGAAGTATATATTGTAAGAGTGGAAATCAAGAAATGGGTAGACGTAAGAAACAAGATAAATGGATTTCTACTGATGATTCATTAAAATAATGACAAATTATAAACCCACAAAATTATAAATATTCTGAATATGTTATGAGGAACAAAGACAGATAGATGAAAAATACCAGTAGCTATCCTATTTTGTTCCTGCACAATTATTTTGGAAATAGAAAATCTACTTAGGGTTACCACTGGGAAACAAAGAAATTATTCAGGTACAATAAAACTCAGTGATTTTGTCCTAACCCCAAACCAAGCCCCAGGGTAACTTTTGCAAAGCAGGGTAATATTTCTCAACCTATTCTTTTTCATTCTGTCTAAATTTCTGGCTAAGGCTAAAATACCCTGATGAAAGCTGTACTTGTATATTTCCAGATCAGCTGGAAAGAGAGTATCATGGGGCAAATAGGCCAGTGTCAAATTTTCAGTTCGATGCCATCAAATTTGGGTAAGCAGGATAAGCATCAAAACTACAGTGTTTACTGACACTGACTGTATTAACAACCTGCCAATGCCAATCAGGATTACTTAAATTTAGTGGGATATCATAATCAAATTATTAAAAAATTATGCAGTTTGAATTCTGTTAATAACTTTGAATAATTTTACTGCTCATTATAGATGAATAATGAATCAATTATGCCCAAATATTGCCCTATGACATTGACTGCAATGAGACACCTATTTTTTTAAACTACATATATACAGTATGAGACTACAGCTATGGCAATGTGTGTGCAAACCATAAAAAAAACAACCCATAAAAGATATATTAGTTCTCCTATGGTAGTGAAGTACAAGTAGGTTGCAACCCACATGCTGCAATACAGAAAAAAAATTCCCTTTTCTTTTTAATTCAAGTTCTAGGACAGAAAACATAGTATAGATCCAGAGAGCTGTGAATTAGGACAAGCACAAGCCTAAAAACGATGCCTAAACTTCAGCAAATTTGTCAAGTACTTTGATTGAGGTTGAGAATATGAGTCTAAATGGGCATACAGGAAGCAATCATTTTTTCATGAAGAATACGTCCTTTACTGTGCACACAAATTCTTCCTTCAGAAGGCTGTAAATTACAGTATTTATGGAATCTTAATGATCTAAACACAGTTGGAGCCTGAAGGTCAAGGCTGCAAACTGCATCCTAAATTTCTGTTTACAGATGAAGCACAGTATTTATTGCTGTACTGCTTGCACTGCTATAGTTAAAGGGCTGCCAGCATTTCCATTATAAACCACTATTTCAGGGGTTTATAACTTGCCTATCAATCTTCTGACTGGGATGAAACATGGCATACAAGGTCTTGGCTGTGAGACTGATTTGTTTTGCTTGTTTTCTTTACCAAATTACAAGAAAAAATAAACTTAAAGTTATGAAAGGGAAAAAAAAAGTACATCAGGTTTTTCAAGTACTTCTAGTGTTTCTGTCATACAATTAGATCTTCAGAACACAAAATACATTCATATAACTTCAATCCCTAAAAAGTGAAAAATCATCCAAACGAAGGCATATTGTTAGATGCTTTTTTTAAAAATCAAAATATTGTAGTGCAGATTTTTAATGGTAGGAAAGTGAACCAGAAATCTAACAGTGTCCTTGATGCTGTTTGTATAGATTTACCATTAAAGGTAATAATTACACACCTTGGCACAGTGCAAAGAATGTATTCTTTTTAGATGACTACCTAAATGATGATACACAAGGTGTCCTTTATTATAATATATACCAAATTATGTTAGGTAAAACTATTTAGTCAAAGGCAATGTTTTCCCCCAACATTTGAAGTAACCTTATTGCCTACTGTTAAATCTTATATCAAATCTAATTAAATGAGAAGGGGGAAAAGTACAAAAATTGTCACTTCCACACTGTCTACTTTGCCAGTGTGAGAAGGACTTTTACCCTGCACTGAAGTACTGTGGACAGCAGGAAGGTGAAAAATGTAAGTCACATTATACCTACATATCTAGCAATTGCACTTTGATGAATAACAAACTTAGTACTGCTAACACTGCAAGAACTGAAATATTAGAAGACCTCAAAACTCCCTTATTGGAATCCTACGTTTGGCATAATTTATTTTTACAAGTAAAGAACTGGGACAGATTCAACCATGTGCCGCTGCGATGCAACACAGACACATTACATTCTATTAAGCAATTTTATGACTCCTTTGCAACACCATGCCAGTTCAGACAAGACAGACAGCAGTGCTAAACCTGGGATATTAGACTTCATTTAATCACATTTAGGTTTATTTCTTGATGTTATAAATCTGGTCACAGCAGGAAGGAAGTAAATTACCACCCCCACCCCCCCAATATAATTACTGTATTTTCTTTATTATAGCTGTAGGGATTTTATTCACTGGCATTGCTGGATTCTCCACATCTACCTTTTTTTTGTTTTTTTTTTGTTAAAGGATTACTGCATTTGTTTTATTGCATTCCTAATGCTTGGAAGAATCTCTTCCTCCTGATGCTGTAAGCTTTCTTCTTCTTTACTTTCCAAGGTAACATCTACCATCTGCCTATTTTATGACACAATCATGCACTTGACACAATCATTAGTACAAGACATTTGATAATTTTCCCCATCAACTGAAATCAAGGTACTGTTTTGTTACTTTACTTAGTTCTGGTTGCAAGTGTGTTCATATTGCTAAATAACACAGACAGCTCATTCACTTTTGTGTTCTGCCCCCTGTCTCTGGTATATGTATGTCAGTTCCCTTCTTAGCTCTCTTTTTTGAGCTTGCCAACCAGTACTCGCTAAAGTAAAATCTGAGTAAGGCTTTAGGGACAGTTTTACCTGGGAATGCCTCCTAATGAGCAGTATGGATAAGCCATTGACTATCTTCAGCTGCACAGTCCTTCCAAATAATCCCAGCAGGCCTGGTGAAGTCAAACAGCCCACACTGCCCTTCCTCTAGCCCAGGACACTCAGAACATATCCTTGGGGTCAAGCTATGACACTTCACACTGATGGACTGCAGGCCAGTGCTCAGACAGTTTGTACTGAAGCACATGCACACATGTTATTACTTCTCCTGAAGAACCAGAGCACGCCTGGCCAATGCTTGTTTTTCAAACTTTTTTTAAGCTACTGACTGGTGTAAGTTTTTTCCTTTGAGGAGGAATTGACAGTGAGAGATGTAGACCACTAGAAATCTTACTTAGAAAGTAAAAGATGGAATCACTACAACATCTTAAAATCAACCTGGGTAGTGCAGCTGAATACATATCAGAGAAGAATTCCAACCAGAGACAACAAGTTATGAACAGTGACTGACTAAGGTCTTCTCATTCACTGCACTGTACAGCTTCTGACTGGTTGAAATGCATCTAAGAACACTGCTATATAATTAAATATGTTAAATAATGCTACAGAGTATCTTGTATAATTCTGAATCTTCAATGAACTGTAAAAAGTTTTAAATAAAATATAGGTGGAGCTTGTCAAGCACTATTAGATTCCAAATATTTTCTTCTTCTGAAAGCTTACTGTACCATCTAACACACGTATCTGTCATGCTGCCTGGGTTGCCATCACACCATTCATCTTGTTAGCAGCAATGTCATGACAGAAATGCTACAGTGCTGCATTCTAATGACCCCTTGTATTGTAATGAATTAATGTTTACTGCAGAAAGGATGTGATAGGCAAAACCAGCTTTAATCTTAGATACTCACTGAGCTTTGCTTTTTTATAAATTATGACAGCTCTGCAAACCAAGCAATGGTAGAATACCATTTCAGCTCAAAGAAAGAACATGTGGAACACCATACCTGTAAAGTCCTGGCGGAGCTCGATGAACCAGGAAGCTTTTCTCCAAGCCTTGTAGCACATCATTGAGCATCCTGACTCTGATAGGAGCTCTCTCCTTGGGGTCATTAGCTGGGCGCATCTCATCCGACTGGAACAATTCGGCAGTGTCCCTCAGACGTGATGCCACTGCAAGCAACTGTGGCATGCCAACTTCATCACCTAGAAACAGTAAGAGCAAGACAGTTACCAGTGATTCAGAGAACACCACTTATTACTCTTGCTTCCAAGTCAAAATTAATAGCCCAATTAAAACCTGAGCCTCTTTTCTCTTGTGAGGAGTATGTAATGGATCAAGAAAAGCCATAGATCATTCTGTGTAACCTCTGATCTATTTTTCAAAGATCAATTTGGGCTCTGATGTTTTAAGATCTAATAAGCTGTGAAGGATGATTTTGGGGTGCAGCTTGAAATCTACCATTGGAAAAACAGGCATGCAGGAAGCAGTAGTTATAAATCAGGAACTATAACAATTCCATCTGAGACAGCATTTATTCAATGCCATTTGATGCTACTGCTCTCAAGTCAGAAAGCCTGTGCTTGGATTCCATAATGACTGCTTATAGAAAATTGTAATATGCAGAGTTTAATTGAATTTGATTCAATATTTTAGAATCCTAGAGGTTAACAACAGTTGTAGAAGGGATGTGAAATTGTACCTCTTAATCACTTAAACCATATGCCAATGAGCCAACTTTCATTGATATCCAAATGTATATTCTACTCCAGTCAATATTTTCAAAACTTTTTAAACTTGGAGCATTAACTATTGCTTTGTTAGCGTTCCTGCACAGATACCAATAGAATAAAACACCACAGCACTTTGGAGCACACCATGATTTCAATATTTCCCAGTTCATAATCCAGAAAGAAGAATGTGAAACATGAATTGGAGCATTGTGAATGTGCAGTCTATTCCCACCTGCAGTGCTGGTGAAGAGCATGGCCTCCTCTCCCAGTGTGTGCATAGATTGCCTTCATTTTTACAAGCACACAGAGGGAGAAAGCAGAGTCTGAACCTGATATAAAGCCAAAAGCAGTATCAGTCAGCATAAACACTTCCAGGATGCAGAAGTTATCTCTGAGGCCAAAATTCATTTTGCGTATTGACAAGAAAATCAACTATCCTTAGATCTTTCAAATGATGTTTTAATCAACATAAACCATGCAGCTTTAGGAGCTGTCCCACCTTTAACTGAATGTACAAACCTCAGTGAGTTCAGAATACTAATGACTGAGATAATTAAGCAAAGAAAGTGGTTCAAGACACAAGTTAAAGGAATGTTAAACTTCCCTGCCTAATAAATACATGGAGAAATCAGAAACAGTAATTGGAGAATGCTGACATGGTTTAACCTCAGCTGGCAGCTAAGTACCATGCAGCTGCTCACTCACACCCTCCCACTTGCCCAATGGGATGGGGAGAAAAATCCCCTCCAAAAAGTTAAAAATCATGGATTGAGATAAGAGCAGTTTAACAATTAATAATAATAATAACATTGACATTATTATTAGTAGTAGTAATAATATAGCATTTAAAAAGTAGAAAACAAACAGAGAAAGAGGCATAAAACCCAAGACAGACAAGTGATACACAATACAACTGCTCATCACCTGCTGAGCATGTTCAGCCTGGCCCCCAGCAGCAATCAGCCCCCCTGGCCAACTCCCCCCATTTTATATACTGAGCATGACATTCTATGGTATAGAACATCCCTTTGACCAGTTCTGGTCACCTGTCCTGGCCATGCTCCCTCCCAGCTTCCTGTAAACCTTTTCTGTAAACCTCCTTACTGGCAGAACATGGGAAACTAGAAAGTCCTTAGGGAAAGCACTACTGAGCAACAACTAAAACATCAGTGAGTTATCAAGCTTAATGTAATCCTAAATCCAAAACACACCACTGTACCAGCTACTAGGAAGAACATTAACTCTATCCCAGTCAAAACCAGGACAAACATCAATGCATTTCTCAAATTATTTATGGATGGGGTCTGAAAGGTGAGCACATAATAGGAATAGAAAAGCAAACAAGTATAATACAAGGAAATGCTTGAATATGATATATTCTCTCTCATATGGAAAAAAAAAAGATTTGCTACTGGATACATTCCAGCAAAGGAAAAGGAGTTCATAGAACCCCATGTACTCCTGTCATTCAGCTGACTAACACATTCCAATCTAGCAAAACATGAAATGATCCAAAATCATTGGAGAGACAGATGCTGGTGTGAGAGAAACTGTCAGATTTCTTGAGATATCAAGATAAATTTCAACAATGAGCAGAAGCTCCTGTGAGAACAGGGGTGAGAAAAGGTGGTTTATATCTGCCCTGGTTTGGGATGAGGTTGCTTTGTTAATGGTTCTTGACCAAGCCACCTTTCTCTAATTAGAAAGGATAACAGGCACTGTGGTACCTTGAAGTACAGGACTGGTATCTTTCTGATCGAGTCTGGAGTAATTTAAATTCTGATCAAGTCAGGTGGATGCCTCAGAAAAATATTCTCCAAGTATATAAACTTGGTACATTTGGGGTATTTTGCAAAATACCATTATCCTTAATTTTCAAATCTCCAGCAAACATTCTGTGCATCTGAAGAACTTGCAATTCCCATGTTTATAATGCAGGCACAGTGCATACCTTACCCTGGGACCTGTGCCTGTATGGAAATCTTTAAATTCACCCTGTTTGAAAGAATCCTTTAGTTTCAGCAAAGCATTTTTTATTCCAAGAAACCTAAAATATTTATATTTTTCATTCTGAATATTATATAAACAATTGCAAATGTCAGCTTTGCCTTTTCAATAGGGAAGGTAAGATAAAGGGATAATCCATCGTTCTATGTCTGGATATGAAACCAAAAAGACCACCCTTTTAAACATAAATATCCTGTAAATGCTCTCACTCCTTCTCCACAGCATGCATTTTGCCCCTACAATAGCTACATTTTTGTTTAGAGGCATGTGTAAAATGTGCTGTTTACAACACTCTAAACCAGAACTCTTTAGAAAACATTCACCCAGGCCCTTTTATAATACTTTCATAAAAAACCTGCAAGTGTCTATGGCAAATGTTACCTCAGCAAACTAAGGACACAACAGGCATCACGACAGACTGAACTTCACTGCCAAGGGAAACTGATTTATGCTTTTCTCAAGTTGAGAAGCTGGGAGTGGAAGGGCAAATGATTCTTCAAGAAAAGAATGCATTAACTAATGATGTCTTAAACATCTTGTGATGCTTCTACAGAGAAAATCAAGCACGAGTGTTACTTCACTCAAGAGAAAACAACGCATTATTATATTTTGTATTCTTTGTCCTTTTGTCTCCAGTATGAATCATGATGAATCATCTAAGCTAGTTGTTTAGATGCTATAAAAATAAAATTGCAAGTATAAGAAAGTGACTCAAGAGCATGTGTACTCTTGATCAGAGAATTACACTGTTGAATTTCATTACACTTGCCAAATGTAACTGGATTCTATTCAGACACAGGTTACACCAAATAGATATTTATTTTTACAGACATTGAATACAATAGCCTTTCCCTGTGTAACTGATTGCTCTTATGAAAAGCACCACTAGAGATTCAACATTTTAAAATTGTGTTTGTGCCCTCTGCTTGAAGGTACTTGCCTACAAGTACCTACAAGACAGTGACAAACAAATCAGCAGTTTAAGGCATGACAGTCGCTCACCATGCATGTGAACGTGTGTTTGCATGTAAGAGAGAGGGGAAATTGCTCCAGGTTTTGATTAGCTTGCAAATTCAGGATCAGCTATGGTGTGTTCTTGTATTCACTAGGAAGATTTTTCATGCTGTGCAAAATAGGATGATCAGACCTGGCAGTAGAAAATCTGAATGGCAAAGCTTTGCAGGAGAACCCTAAAGGGGCAGAAACACAAATCCACAGATATCCTTAGTGTAAAGAATATGTTGCCATCAGCTTCAATTTTGCTACCATGACTGCTATTGCCCAAGCAAACTAATCTGGCATTGCTACAACAACTCTCTTTTCAAAGAGGCTACCATTAAAGAGGCATGTTGTGACATACTACTATATGCATGTTAATACAGAAGGAGCCTGGAGAACAGTAGGCTCCAGGGAGACTTTATTGTGTTCTTTCAATATTTTAAATGTAGTGGTTTTAAACTAAAAGATTGTATTTAGACTAGGTATAAGGTAGAAAGTTTGTACAATGAGCAAGGTGAAACACAGACACAGGTTGCCTAGAGAGGTGGTAGATGCTCCATCCCTGGAAATATTCAAGGTGAGGTTGGACAGGGCTCTGAGCAACCTGATCTAGTGGAAGATGTCCCTGCTCATTGCAGGGGGGTTGGACTAGATGACCTTTAAAAGGTCCCTTCCAACCCAAACTGTTCTATGAATCTGCAAATTTATCAATGAAATGCTGACACATATGTGGTCTATTGATACAGAATAGATGCTCATCCTTTCCCTTCCGTACCAAATGCTTTGTCCATGGAAAATGTATTTTTCCATGATGTTTTTTAAAGGCTGATGAAAGATATTAATATATACTAACCTTGAAAGGGTACTGAAGACAAGATTTCAGTGTCTCATGGCAAAGGATGCATTTTTGTCATATATAGAGATAATCAGCTGTTGCATTTGTCACCTCTGTAGCAGTCAAGAATAATGGGTGGGAACAGCAAAGTGGGAAATTTTCTGAACATTACAGACAGGTGGAGAAAATAACTCTGAAAAGCATTCTGAATGATCAGGGAAATATGGCCAGGCAGGTAAAATGACACCAGGCTGAAGACTAGCAGATAGCTGTAGGCAATGATCATGCACCCATCAAGTAAATGAGAGAGATATGTTTCTGTATTGATTTTTCTAAGGACATAGAGTTTAGCCTGATGTTTTGAAATGTATGGGCTGAGCCAGGGCTATGGAAAGTCACACAGACTTTCCTGGAAATGGCTTATCATAAAACAGATTATTTTTAAATTTCTGCTAGCGCTGCCTACTATTATCACCCCAAGTAGTTCAGCTGCTGTAACATCTGTAAAACATCCATTCTGGGGAGAAGAAAGGGTCTAACTGACAGGAAGGCACACACAACTGACATTGCAGCAGCCAAAGAGCTTTAAATCACAGCTCTTGCACTTTCCATAGAGGGGAAAACCTCATCCACATTTCATTCATCTTCATAAGCCTCTCTCAGGCAGTGTCTATCAGAGATGGGTACAATTTGCTTACCAGCTTCAGCAGCCTGTGATGACAGCCACAACTGGGGAATCTTACTTCACCTGCTAGTGGTGTTCAGTCACAATCCAGGGTTGGGCCCAGACCCTTTTTGAAAGGTCTGCATGAATCTAGGTGGGCCTAAGTGACTGGCAATAAGAAATGACATCAGCTTCTACAGCCAAGAGCACCTAAATGAGGGACATGGTTAGCATCACCCTGGCTGCCTTTATTTTTGTAAACTGTGTGACTGAACCTATTATTGCTGAGACAGTCAGGTGCAAAGGTACAGAAAGGCTTTTAATCGTAATGAGACACCTGAGCACCTCCATCATCAATCCCTGAAGCTCGTTGTAACATACACTAAATTTTAAAGAGGCTCGAGTCCAGCACAAGGAACAAATCCAG